TCTGCACACTGTCTTCCAGGGTTGCAGAGACTTTGTCCAACCTCCTGGACTCACCACAGGAATTTAGTTGGTTCTCATGATGAATGTGTCCAGAATGAACAGTGCCTTGTTCGGTTACAGTTCTTCCTGTGCACGTTATGTGGCATCCCGCCAATCAGTTCTTTATTAGACATACAGCATTCATCCTGCAAGGTAGATGTTGACCACAATGTCTATCATGGTTATCATTTTCCTGTTCTAACCCAAAATTAACAATAGCGGCCTATAGTCGGGAAAAGACAGCAATTTTAACCTATCAAACAAATAAAAATCACATGATCGTATAGTGGATATGTAAGCAAATGTCTGTTGCATTATGTAGCCTATATGTGTGCCATGATCTGTGCACCTACTGTATATGTGAGCAGTATGTGTAAGCTGTTCTTCATAGCATCACAAGCATTCTTCGTTGCACATGCATATGGAAATACAAAACAATGACATGGTGTTAACATTCTAAAATGTAAATAACTAGTCAAAATAAAATGATAAAAATAATGCATAAAGGTTAAAAAATACATATCAGGAGTATTTATCACGGCATCCTTGTCTTTTTGCTGCTGTTCTAATTGATGTTGCGCTCTGCGTTTATCAAAACATAAATGTATGTTGCCATTCGACGACCTAATACTATTATCTTTAAAAAAGCGCCTGTGTTCTGGGTTGTTCTCATGTGTTGGTGTTTCAAGGGTCTCTGTAGGAAACTCCCCAACCTGAGAATGTGTTCTCAGGGAATTCTGTTCTGTGTGGTTAGTTTGGTCAGTTGAAGTAGTCTGATTACCAAATGAAATCAGGTATGTGGTACTGTGAACTATATGAGGTGGGGTCTTGCTCCGCTGAACCGCTTCCTTCAGGTAATACTCAGCTTGTTTTTGGGAGGTGTAATCTCCCGTCAGTGATACTGTTTTACGCAAACTATTTTTTACTACTGTTAAAGGCTCCATCATGGGGGTTGACTTATATTCTGCCTGGGGTTACAGAGGTGGTGAGGTTACTGGTGTGTGTGTTTCAGTGGGGGATGTCTGATGTTCGCATGCTTCATAGGGAGGAGTGTGAGGTTAAAGGGCAAGAGTTGAGTATCTGCTCAACTTCTTTCCTGTCATGTACTGCAGATATTTGTGTCTCAGGAGGAGGCAAGGTCATAAATAATGATTGCTGTGTGGTTTGTACAAAGGACAATAAGCATAATGAGAATTTAACTTAACTAAGAAAACATTGACAGTCCATCAAGAACTCTTCTGCCTGTCTGATCACTTCACTCATCCTCTCTTCCTTCAGCAAGCTTGTCTCATCTAACGCTGCTGTGGCTACTTCTAAACTAGATGAGGCCAGCTTCATAAACATGGGTAAAACACTCAACTTAGGAGGAATGCTTTCCCAGGCACTAAACAACCCTTTATGTTGCATTCCTTTTGTCCACTCCACAAAACATTTTACACCTTTCTGTGCTTCATCTTTTGGGACCTTTTCCAACCATCCTTCTATAGTTTCAACTAACACCACTCCCAAAGAAGCAGCTTTACCAATCTTCCACTCTTCAACAATCTTGAATGACATTATGAAAAATATTACACGTGTTAACAGAGAGGGTGAATGGCACAATACCCAAGTGGCTGACTTGTCTGAGAAGTTTCTATGCACAGGCCACTATACGGTCATGCACGCTCAAACATTAAGGGTAACCCAGTCTGGTGGGAATTGTTGGGTTTCTGTAGTTAACTTCAGAGTAGGGTCTGACCTGCTCTATTTGGAAAGCGCTGTGAGACAACTGTTGTTGTGATGTGGCGCTATATAAATAAAATTGAAAATTGAATTGGTCACTTGTTTTAATACACCCAATTCTGTAACAGCTTAACAAGAACATCCCCAGGTAATCTATTCCAAACACCCATACACAAAACTATATGAGATCTGTGTTAGTGCAGGAATTCTTGAACAGCCTATACTTGTCAGTGCGGACAGAGGAGGACCCAAAAGCACAATTTAGTCCAATGCTTTATTAAGGTTCTGGAGACAGGAAGTAGGGATCTCGGTCCCGGATCACTGGTGGGAGTCAGAATCAAAGACAGACAGGCAGGTTACTGATGCAGGCTTGCAGACGATCTGACAAGTGTGGAGTGAAAAACTGGGCCTTATATACAGAGGTGGTAATCAGGAAATGCAGAGCAGCTGGCAGGTTGAGGGGAGCAGAGCAGAGACAGGTGCAGGCAATAAACCCAAGCAGAGAGCTCATGACAATACTGTCCAATACACTGACACAAACACAGTAAAGATATCAATCAAGTAGGAAACGACCCAAAATTTGTATGAAAAATAACAAACTCATCCCTGTGTCCCCTTCTAAGGAATAGAAGTACTATGGCCGCTAGTAATTCTATACATGCATATATCTACCATATATCGAATATATGATATATACAGGGATTGGACAATGAAACTGAAACACCTGGTTTTGGACCACAATAATTTATTAGTATGGTGTAGGGCCTCCTTTTGCAGCCAATACAGCATTAATTTGTCTTGGGAATGACATAAACAAGTCCTGCACAGTGGTTTGAGGGATTTTAAGCCATTCTTCTTGCAGGATAGTGGCCAGGTCACGACGTGATGCTGGTGGAGGAAAATGTTTCCTGACTCGCTCCTCCAAAACACCCCAAAGTGGCTCAATAATATTGAGATCTGGTGACTGTGCAGGCCATGGGAGATGTTCAACTTCACTTTCATGTTCATCAAACCAATCTTTCACCAGTCGTGCTGTGTGTATTGGTACATATAGGGCACCTCCTTCAGGATACAATGTTTGAACCATTGGATGCACATGGTCCTCCAGAATGGTTCGTTAGTCCTTGGCAGTGACACGCCCATCTTGCACAAGTATGGGGCCGAGGGAATGCCATGATATGACAGCCCAAACCATCACTGATCCACCCCCATGCTTCACTCTGGGCATGCAACAGTCTGGGTGGTCCGCTTCTTTGGGGCTTCTCCACACCGTAACTCTCCCGGATGTGGGGAAAACAGTAAAGGCGGACTCATCGGAGAAAAATAAATGTTTCACATTGTCCACATCCCAAGATTTGCGCTCCTTGCACCATTGAAACCGATGTTTGGCATTGGCACGAGTGACCAAAGGTTTGGCTGTAGCAGCCCGGCCGTGTATATTGACCCTGTGGAGCTCCCGATGGACAGTTTTGGTGGAAACAGGAGAGTTGAGGTGCACATTTAATTCTGCCGTGATTTGGGCAGCCGTGGTTTTGGGAGCACCAAACCTCCCTAGCACAAGCTTGTATCAGCAAACACAATCAAACTGCTTTAGCAGTAACAAACAAGAGTTCCAAGAGTTCTACAAAGCAGTAGCAAACAAGAGGTAGGGGAACAGCTTTACAGAACCTCTTCCTACTAGCTGTCCCCCTGAAGGACTGTTTCAGGAGCCTTTTAAAGGTACAGGTGAGGCTCATCAGCATCTGATTGTCTTGCCATGCTCTGCTGATCCAATGGTGTGCGACTCCTGCAGCTTCCAGGCAGCCAATCAGAAGAGGGGTTATCACAGCTGGTCCTGCATAACAAAAGAAAAGGAGCATGCACAGACTCACGAGGCTAGGGGCCGTAACATCCACGATTGGATTATCCTTTTGACCTGCATGTGGATGCGAGTGATGTAGGTGCAGGTGCTGTCTTATTTCAGCAAGATGATAATGGGGTTGATCGACCTGTGAGTTTCTACTCTAAGAAATTCAACCATTTTCAGGTAAACTATTCTGTCATTGAAAAAGAAACACTGGCATTAATTTGGGCCTTACAGAATTTTGAGGTATATCTCGATTCTGGCAGTGTTCCTCTGGTGGTTTATACCGATCAGAACCCCCTAACGTGACAAGCAAGCACTAGGCAACACAGGCGAGGAAAAACTTCCTTTGAAGAGGCAGACACCTCGAGCAGAACCATGGATCAGGGTGGGCACCAATCTGCCTCGGTTAGGCGTGACACAGAGAGAGAGAGAGAGAGAGAGAGAGAGAGAGAGACTTTGACTTTTAACGTCTTTTATTTATGACACAATAGGAATACACAATCTTAACAGAACTCAAATACAGTAACTACACACACACCCAGAACACACACACACACACACACCCAGAACACACACACAAACAAACAAAAATAGGTCAAAAACTGAGAACCAGGGAGCCATCTTCCTCTAGTGAACATAAAACACGTCTGATCCCCCACAGAGCCCTGAACGTCTCCAGATTGTTCGTCAGCATGTAATATGCGTGCTCCACTCTCAGACGAGCCGCAACCAGACCCTTCAGGCACCGCACCACATCCGTCCAGCCCCGACCCAACATCTGATGCTTCCTTGTTTTCCAAAGCGCCAGTTTAGCTATGCCAAGTAAAAAATTGATTAAAACCAATGTCAGCTTTCTCCTGACAACATATTTGGGTCCAAAAACAAACAGGGGGACAGAGAAGGACTCTCCCAGGGCTTCCACCCATTCCTTTAAAACTCTAAAAAGGCCAGCTAGCCGAGAACAACCCACCACTAAGTGCTCCAGTGTTTCACTTTGAGTGTAGAATGGACAGCCCTCCCCAGTGCTTGGATCCAGGTGAGCTCTGTGTCTGTTCGTGGCTATTGATCCGTGTATCATCCTCCACTGGAGATCCGCCATCCTTTTCTCAACAGGGGGTTTGTACAGGATCCTCCACCTGCCCTTAGGGGTAATGTCTGATGCAAACACCTCGCCCCATTTTGACTCCTTCACTCCAGCCAGCGTGTGAAGGTTCAGCACCTTCACACAGCTGAGATACAGCTGCTTTTTTCCACAGGAGCTGAATGTGCCCAGCACCGGTGTATTCCATGTCAGAAATGAACCATCCTCCTCCTGCCGCTCCCCAACAGCCGGACAGACGCTCAGAGACGGAAAAGCATACATGCTGCCATCCGTCCATTGGCTAGCATGACTCCCGGCAAAGTCTCTCAGGGGCCCAGACAGGGACTGCCAGACTTCCTCCACAATCCTACTCACCAGTCTTGAGGATCTGACATTTATGACATCACCAAGTGTGTCCATGGACTTATTCACCAGGTGGCCCAGTTTGGTCATGCCGGCCTCAACAAATTTAGTCCTCAGAGTGACGGAAGACAATGAGGCATTCCTAAGGAAGTCATTATTAAAAAGTGGCTCCTCAAAGACCCACATCCCTGGCCCAGGGTCAGGAGTTCTTGAGACCTTCAGTGTCTGCCAGGCGTTGATCACCGAGCTGTAGAAGGGTGGGAGTCCTGTCAGGTCTACTTCGGACGTTTTAAGAAGAAACAGCTGTTTATCCAGCCCAAGCCGGCCAGCGTTCCTGAGCAGCAGCCGAGCAGGAGCTAACCAGCAGCGACTGCATCCATATAACTGTGCTGTCTGCAGTCTGAAGGCCGCCGTTCGGGACAGAATGTCCACAAGTCCTTGCCCTCCCTCTGCTACAGGGAGATACAGGACCGCCGCCCTCAGCCAGTGTTGACCAGACCAGAAAAAGTTCACGAGAAGCCGCTGTACGTCCTTCAGGAAGCCTGTTGGTGGCACCAGCACGATGAATTTGTGCCACAGAGATGATGCGACCAGGTTGTTTACAATCAGAGCTCTCCCCCTATAGGGCAGGTGAGGTAGCAACCATTTCCATTTAGACAACTTGGCTTCCACCTTTTCCAGCACTCCCTCCCAGTTCTGCCTCTGAAAATCCTCTGTCCCTAAAAAAATTCCCAGGCTCTTCAGACCCCGTGTACCCCACCTAAGGTCCCCAGGTAAAACGGGAGCACTCCCCACGCACCACTCTCCCACTAAGCAGGCTGCACTCTTTCCCCAGTTTACCTTCGCAGAGGAAGCCTTCCCGTACAGGGCCAAACTTACCTCCAACTCCTGAACATCTCCCTGGTCACAAATGAAAACATTCACATCGTCAGCATATGCTGACGATGCGGTGACCTTCCCATCAGGGAGGCGGAGACACACCATCTGTTTTCTTGACGCGACAGACTTCTCCAGGTTAAAAAAGAAGGTGGTAGGTGCATCAATGTCCTGCAGCCTGGTGAAGCGTGCTCGGACAAGAGCCCCTTTGGCTCTCTCCTGAAGGAAAGAGTTTAGTTCCTGTTTTTTGGACCTCAGTAAGTCATGTTGCAGCTCTCCCTGTAGGGCATTTTCCAAGTCTCTGATTTGGCCCTCTAGCCCCTGCACTGTTGTCCTTATGCCCGTTGTGACCCTTTTTGTGTAATCCTGGCAAAACACCCTGGTCTGGGCCTTCCCCACCTCCCACCACTGAGCCAGGGAGAGAAAGTCACCTTTCTGGGCTCTCCAATAGTCCCAGAAATATTTAAAATTTTCACAGAAAACAAGATCATTTAATAATTTAACATTAAAACGCCACAAAGTTCTTGGTCTTCCAGTGGGAGAGAGCACTAGCTCCATCACAACTAGGTGATGGTCTGTAAAGCCCACTGGGAGGATCTGGCAGCTAGAAACTCCTGCAGTAAAGGAAGCAGGCAGATAGAACCTGTCCAGCCTAGCTGCACTTACTCTTCTACCTGACATCTTGATCCAGGTGTATTGTCTATGCGAGGGGTGTTTCATTCTCCAGACATCAACCAAGTCCATCTGTTTCAAAACATTAGACAGGACAGAAGAGGAGGAAATATGTGGCTCCTCTCCAGTCCTATCCAATGTGAAATCTGAGCAGCAGTTCCAGTCCCCACCCAAAACAATAAACTCTCCTGTACCAATATAATTTAGTGTTTCTCTCAGTTTATTAAAAGTTTTTTCTCGTTCAGAGCCTTGGGTTGGTGCATATACATTAATGAAAACGAAGCTGAAGCCCTCTACTTCAGCTCTCACCATCAGGACTCTGCCCTTCACTACCTCCGTGCTGGATGTCACAGTGACTTTCAGCTTAGCAGAAAACAAAATGGCGACTCCTGCACTTAGATTGGTCCCATGGCTAAGGACCTGCTGCCCTCCCCACCATAAGTCCCAATCTATTGAATTTGTTCCATCAATATGTGTTTCCTGTAAAAAAAACCACATCCAACCTTTTCTGTGCGATTATGTCTGATATGATAGTTCTCTTTTTTACATCTCTACCCCCATTTATATTTAACGAGGCCACTCTTAGACCCTTCATGAAGAAAGAAGAGAGACAGACCAGTAGGGAAAACCAACAGAGTTGAAACACCCGGTGTTGTACAATCATTTTGCTTTAATTCGAAAGTTTCATTTTCTTTGACATTTTATTCTTTGTTGTTTTGAGAGTCTTCTTCAGACCTGTAACATGCTTCTTCCGCCGATAGCAATTTTTGCTGTCCAGCACATCGAGCCCAAATACTCTCTGCAGGGTGGTGGCTGACTGAATAAGTTTGTCCATGTCCGGAAAATAATCTCTAACATTTACCTTCTTCCCAAACGTCTCGTCCAGGAATTCATTAATCTCCTCTAGGGAGTACAGGTCACCACTCTGAGAGTAGCTGTCTGCTACAGAGAAACTGTCAGAGTCAGAGTCCCCATCCATGTCGCCATGGCTCACTATCAGGGCTTACCTGCAGCAGCTCCACATCCCGCCCAGCAGCACTCTCTGCAGCCTGCTCTGGCCTCACCAGGTCATCCACTCTCTGCCCTGTCCTGACCACCGCCTCTTCCTCACCCACATTACCCTCAGTCCCAGCTACGGGGCCACTATCACCACCACCATCAGCCCCAACCACTGAGCCACCAACAGCACTCTCACCTCCATCAGCCCTGGCCACGGAGCCACTGTCACCGTCTGCCCCGATCACGGAGCCACTGTCACCACCGTCAGCCCCGATCACGGAGCCGTCCGTCCCAGTGTCGTCACGTGGAGCAGCCTCGGGCAGTGTTCGCTGTTTGCTGCTCCCTTCCCCGCTGTCGACCGCAGCAGCAGCGGCCGCTGCCGGCCCCGCAGCGGGCCCCGCCGCCGGTTCCGGGGCGGGTTCCGCCGACGCCTCCGCCGCCGGTTCCGGGGCGGGTTCCGCCGACGCCTCCGCCGCCGGTTCCGGGGCGGGTTCCGCCGACGCCTCCGCCCCCGGTTCCGGGGCGGGCTCCGCCGAGGGCCCCGCAGCGCGCTGTCTGTGGGGACACGCCATCCGCTTGTGGCCCACATCTCCATATTCGAAACACTTCATGTTCCCGGAGCTGGCATACACCATGTATTGTCCTAGTTCATGCTTCACACGGAACGACACGTCAAGTGTCTGCGCTGGAGAGTTCAAAAACATGAACACCTGCCTACGCAGCGACTGAACGTGCCTCAGCTTAGCGTCCCTACAGCCCAGACTCACCACCCGGAACCCGCCCGCGAACTTCCCGAAACGCTTGAGCTCCGCTTCCAGAGCCTCGTTGGGAATAAACGGGGGGACGCCAGAGATGGTGATCCGGACCGAGGGGATCGCCAGAGGGGAAACCGGAACGAACTCATTCTCCAGGATCAGTCCGCTCTCAATGAGTTGACTGACTAGCTCCAAGTTCTTCAAAAACACCACCACCGCTTTATTCATCCGTGAGGCACACACGATGTTTTCGTGCCTCACCTGTTCACCTACCTCCAGCAGCACCTGCTCCACCGTGGTGCTGGGCTGGGGCAACACCCGCACCCCATGCTTCAGAGACAGGGACGGTGCCTCCGAGGACGCCATCCCCGTCTAGAAACACGGCGTACCGGCCCCACAAGCACCCAAACACACAACAACGTAGAGAGACAAAAAACGAAAACAATGATCAAACAATCATACAATAAACACTTAGAAGGGAAAACAAAGGAAGTTTGAAAATACTCGCAAACTTTCAGCCACGCTCACCACACTCTCCACCACCAAACTCCCAGCATGCACTCAGAGAGAGAGAGAGAGAGAGAGAGAGAGAGAGAGAGAGAATTTTGAATTTTAACAATACATTTATTAAAAGAATTTAAAAGTTACAAAAGGCTGCCATCGACGGCAATCAGTAAAACAGGATTTATAGAAGACTAATTAACCTAGCACACCTCCAAAAAAAGTTCTCATTTACATGCCAACACAGAACATTTTTGTGACACCACAATCTGGAAAAGCTTTTCAGGTCCTTCATCATTCGATAGTAATTAAAATCTATTTTCAAACGGGCTTTCACCATCTTTATAAACATGAGCACAGCATTATTATCCACAGCTTTTTCTATTATTGTCCTGGCCTCGCTAAGCACTGTGACACAGGGGGGAGGTGTGGAGAAGGCTCAGGCGAGCAGTGACAGGGGAGATGATTAGGCACACCTGGAACCAGTTGTCTAATCACAACGATTGTCTAATTGTCCAATTGTCTAATTAGTGGGCGGTGCGACTGCTTCTCCTCCTGTCGGGAGAGCCCCAGCCCGTCCAGGACCGCCCTCCTCACCTCCCGGTACCGTCCTCGGGAGGAGGCTGGCAGACCCAGCGCCCCCGTCTGGCCCTCTCCCGACAGGAGGGGAAGCAGTCGCACCGCCCACTCCTCCTCCGGCCACCCGCAAGCCGTCGCAGTGGCCTCAAACATCCCGAGGAATGACTGCGGGTCGTCCTGTTCTGTAAGCCGGTGCAACTGTATCGCGGCGATCGCCGGGCCCCTTGGCGGAGCCGCCGTCCGCTCCACCACTGCCTCCAGTACCGGCTGCCATCTCCGCCAGCGTCTGGGCCAGCGTCAGTATCGGTTGCTGCGGTTCAGTCATATTGCCTCCGCACTCTTGTCAGACCACGTTGGGTGCCAATTGTGGCCTTGTGCCACCGTGGGTGTCTGACAGAGTCCCCCAGAGACCAGACTTTGTGGTTCACACAGTTTATTTCGAGCGTGTGTGCCACACGCACACACACTCTCACACACACACACACTCACGCACGCCCGGCTTGGGGTCTTTTACTGGTAGGCCGTTTGCCTGCTCTGTTCCTGTCTCCAGCTCTCTTTTCCCCCTGGTCCAGCATGCTACTGTTTTTACAGAGGGGAGAGTGAATAGACAACTGGTTCCAGGTGTGCCTAATCATCTCCCCTGGCACTGCTCCCCTGAGCCTTCTCCACACCTCCCCCTGCAGCTGAGCGCCACGCCCCCTCCACACTGTGTCTCCTGTACAAAAATAACATCTAACTTTTTAAGAGAGCACAACTTAAAAAGAGAAGCCCTCTTCCCATCATCCCTTGCCCCAGTTAGGTTTAGGCTGCCTATACGTATGTCCCCCATAACATAGAGATGTCATAGTGACACAGAAACAAAAGAGCCAAACAACAGAAGAAAAGAATGATTCTGAACCTCATTCATCACCTTCTAACTGTTTTTTTACCTTTTGCACAAATTTTTTAATATGGTAGGACCTGACAGCTGACACTCATTAGGAAGAACAACTTTCTTGACTTTACAAGCGGATTGGCGCTCTTCATTTGATTTCCTCTTTTTAGTGTCATTAGAAAACTCCTTGTCCACAAGCATCTCGGCTTCCTCCTCCAGTGAAAATCTTACCTGCCCGGTTTCAGACTGTGTGGAAATGCTGTCGTGTGGGACTGCTCACTGGCTCCTACCACTGAATCAGAAAAGACAGCCTCAGAACCAGCAGCACCCAAGTCCCAGGTATCCAGACTAGGATGTCCTGGGCCATCAGAAACGACTTCATCAGTACTTGAATTAGCAAAACCATCAAGACCCGGAGTAGCATTATTAGAAGTGGCTGCCTCCTGATGCCCAGCCTGTTGTGTTCCCTGTGTGTCCCCCTCCTGCGAACTCTGAGGATGGTCATGTTCTAAAACTGCTGATGCAGTCTCACTGTTGTTGGCCATAGCATTCTGTTTTTGTGGACAGGAGCGGACAATATGGCCCTCCATTCCACAGCTAAAGCACTTCATTCTCTCTGAAGAAACATAAACAGTGTAATCAAAATCATCCACTCTAAACTTCAGCATTAAATTTAGCTCCTCAGTTATTTTTCAAGACCATGAAAACCTGTCATCTAAAGGAAACAACATGTTTAAGATGCAGTGATTTACAGCCCAGAGGGATCAGTTTAATTGGTGACATTAAGTGACCGTGTCTCGCCAGTTCTCGTTCTAACGCTTCATTACTAAGAAACAGAGGAACTTAGGACAAGATTATCTTTTTGGCCGGGTTAAGTACACTACTTTGTCAACACTATCCAGAAATATCACAACGCCATTATTCATTCTGAAAGCAGATTTCACACTTTTATAGCCGACAATTTCTCCGATCGCTAGACTGCAGTTCTCTACGGAGCAATTAAAAGCTTGACAAAGCTTAACCCCGTGTCTGCGTGTAAGCTTCTCCAGCTCCACATCCCCAACTCCGTGAGTCAGCATGACGCCGGTAAAAAACGGGCGTCACCGCTGAGGAGACCAGCTGATATACAAACAGAAAAACTAACACTGAACAAACAAACACACAAGTAACAGAAAAAAAGATGGAAAACACTCACGCTGTTACGCGTACCCACTCTCACAGTCCTCCACTCCCAGCATGCACTCGCAGAGAGAGAGAGAGAGAGAGAGAGAGAGAGATTGATTTTGATTTTTTAAAAACTCATTTATTCACTCAGTGGTGAAACATAGGAACATTCAACGCAACATCAAATCAGCACTTCCATAAATGACAGTACAGAATCATTTACAGTAAATAAAACACCTTCATAATCCCAAATATTCTGAAAAACATTCAGTTCATCCATTTGTAAATAATATTTATATTCTAACATCACTCTTGCTCTCACCATACTCTTCAAAAGTGTTACACAATCAATATCCTGTCCATTGATAATTTTAAATTTTCTACTCAAATATGTTGCAAGCTTCGCTTGACCAAGAAAAAAATTTAACAGCCGTCCCAATTTTCTTTTTCCTTTTGCCATATAAAAAACCAAAAATATAAGACTGTTCTGTAAAACTCTCACCAAATAACTTCCAAATATCCCCCAGTAATGAAAATAAATCCACTAGTCTAAGACATTGTACAAAACAATGAAAGATAGTTTCTCTTAACAAACAAAAGGGACATTTATCTGAAACAGCAGGATTGATAATAGAAACAAAAGCATTAACCGCAATAATGCCATGCAAAATCCTCCATTGTAAATCACCAACATTTTTAGTCAATGGTGGCTTGTAAAGTAATCCCCATACAGGTTTCACCTCAAAACCAACTTTAAAATAATCTCTCCAAGGAGTATCTTTCCTATCTTTCAATTTTACTTTGTTCAAAGCTTTAACACATTTCATGTATATTATCTTTCCAGTCACAGAATCCAAAAGTGTCCATTCATTTTTCCCTTTCTCTAAGAAAATTCCAGGGCATTCAAGGTCTTTCATTTGTGGCTTAAAACACAGCTTAAAGAAGGGATCTGTTTTATCAGGTGTTAAAAGTCCATCAAACCATCCTTTTATAAGTCTTTTGTCTTTTCCTGACAACATTCACTTAAGCGCTGTCAACATAACGCCTGCAATTCTTAAAGAGTGAATCTCCAATCTTCGAGCCAAAGGAACAACATCCTCCATTTCAGATCCAACGAGTTCAAGCAGATGTTTCAGCGTAACCACCCCCCTTTGCACCAACCGTTCAGAGATCATAGCCGTATTGTCCCAAGCTGAACCCAATCGTGATCCCTTGATGACAGGTTCCAGTAATAACCAATTCAAAGATGTGGATATTTCAACTCTCTTTGTTTCCATGAGGTTCCAAGATTTCAACACACTAACATAAAAAGACGACAGACACTTTACATTAAGTTTCGAAAGGTCAACAATAAACAGAGTTTTACCAAAACCTAAATTACCTACTTTTGAAAGAAAATATTCTGTAATTTGTCTCCACAAAACATTTTGATCACCATACAAAAACCTCTGTAAAAACTGTAATCTGAAAGCTGCTTTCCTACTTTCTAAATGAATCAACCCTTGCCCTCCTTCTTCCTTTGGTAAGAACAACACACTCTGAGGGACCCAATGTAATCTGTCCCAAAAGAAATTTAAACTAATAGTCTGTAATTTTGCCAAAAGACCTTGTGGAGGTTCCAGAACAGATAAGCGATGCCACAAAGTTGAAGCAATCAAATTATTAATAATTAATGTACGGCCTCTGTAAGAACAGCGTGGCAAAAGCCAGTGCCATTTCTTTAATCTACCCTCCACCAGTTCAATTAAACCTTCCCAATTTTTCATGACGTCTACTTGATCCCCCAAATAAACACCCAAATATTTAAATCCATTTTTTGACCACATTAATTCCTCAGGTAAATTTGGTTTTTGCTTTGTCCAGTTACCTACTGACACAGCTTTACTTTTGCTCCAATTAACTTTGGATGAAGAAATTTTACCAAAACACTCGATAATTTTAATTAAAGTAAGAACATCTGACTCTTTTGTTATTGCCACAATAATATCATCCGCATATGCAGAAAGTTGAAAAGGTAAAGAAGCTTCACTTAATTTTACACCCTGTAACCTTTTTCTAATTTGACATAATAAAGGTTCAATACTCAAAGAATACAACATTCCTGACATAGCACAACCTTGGCGAATACCCCTCTTTACATTAAAAGGTGCACTTAAACCACCATTGACTTTCAATACACCTTCAATGTCACAATAAAGGGTTTTTATCATGGCGATGAACCCAGAGGAGAAACCAAAAGCTTTCAAACTATTCCATAAATATTGGTGCTCCACTCGATCAAAAGCCTTTTCTTGGTCAATAGAAATCAGACCAAAGTTTAAACCCAATAGATTAGAGACGTCCAAATAATCCCGAATTAATGTTATGTTATCTCTTATTGATCTGCCAGGGATGCAATAAGACTGATCAACATTTATGACTTGATCTATCACTCTTCTCAACCTGCATGCCAGAACTTTTGAGAAAATCTTGTAGTCGGTGCACAACAGACTAACAGGTCTCCAGTTCCTTATTTCATAAAGATCACCCTTCTTAGGGATAAGAGTGAGCACAGCTCTTCGACAGCTAAGGGGTAACATTCCCCTCGCCACACTATTATTAAGGACTTCCAACAGATCTTCAGCCAACACAGGCCAACACGATTTATAAAATTCCACAGGCAGGCCTCCCATTCCTGGAGCTTTGCCATTTTCCATGCTCAGCAGCGCCTCCTGCAGTTCCTTCAACGTTAGATCATGCTCCAAAATGACATTGTCTTGATCCGACACTTTTGGTAAATCATTAAGAAACTCTTCCATCATCACAGGGTCTTCTCTAAACTCACTGGCATATAACGTTGAAAAAAAGTCCACAGCTCTTTTCCGTAGTTCAGCGGGACCTGTCAACTCTTTTCCACCTTCAGAACGAAGGCAATGAATGAGACGATTTTGTCCATTCTTCTTTTCCAAACTGAAGAAGAATTTTGAGGGAGCATCCATTTCAGAAACATTTTGAAAACGTGAACGTACCAGAGCTCCCTGTGCTCTAAGCCCAAGCAGATCAGTCAGAGCAGTTTTTTTCCGTTTAAGCGCCTGAATATGGCCTCGACTTCCTGTGGACTCGCAAAAACTCTGGAGATCCACAATTTCAATCTCTAATTCTTCAATAGATCTTGCCATTTCTCTTGTAACATTGTATGTGTATTGATTACAAAACTGCTGAATTTTAATTTTACCAATATCCCACCACTGCTGTATAGATGCAAACTGACCTTTTAAAAGTCTCCATTGTTTCCAGAAAAAAGAAAATCCTTTTTTAAAACAACCATCATTTAACAAGACAGTATTGAAATGCCAATATGCACTTTTAGGTCTTAAATTGTTAATAAACACATTTCCTATGACCATACAATGATCAGAAAAGCCCACTGGACACAAAGTGCATGATCTAAATATTTGCAAATGATGCCCAAAACAATAAAACCTATCTAATCTTGCCAAAGTAACATAATTCTCTTTACAATGAGCCCAGGAATATTGCCTTATATTCCCATTTTTGAGACGCCACACATCAGCTAAATCATAAGTTTCAATAATACATTTCAAAATTTTCCTTGAATGCATATGTGGCTCCAAATGATTTCTATCCAAATCATCTATTGTACAATTAAAATCCCCTCCTAAAACTAAGTAATCTGTTGACACGCAATTTAACAGTGTATTTGCTAACTTTTCTAAGAAAACACAACGTTCACCTGGATTCACAGGAGCATATACATTCAGTAAAATAAATGTTCTATTTTCATACTTAACAGTAACCTTTAACAATCTTCCAGATATAACATTTTCAATTTCTATAGAAACTGGAAGAAAATTCCTTGAGAAAAGAATAGCAACTCCTGCACTTAGTGACGTTTTATGACTCAAAACAAGATTTCCATCCCATTCTTTCTTCCAATCAACCTCATTGCCAACATCACTATGAGTTTCTTGAGCAAAGGCTATGTCAATACCTTTAGATTTTAGAAGTTAAAAAAAAACAGCCCTTTTTTTACCATCTCTTGCACCGTTTAAGTTTAAAGATGAGATTTTAAAACAGCTCATAATAACACAAAAAAGGATCCAAGAAAAAAAAAGTAGGCTACAGCGTTCCGTCTGCTGTTTTTTAACTTTCATGTAACTCACTCAATTCAAGCTCTGGCTTTTTGCACCAGTTTTCTAAGTCTGTATACTTCAGTGTCCCTTAACCCATCAGATGTCCTTTGTCTCATTAACCATTTAACTGAATCCACAAACAATTTTTTATTTGGAAAAAAATCGTCTATGACTACATCCCTTTTCCCTTTTGTCACTTCCAAAAATCTTCTTATCTGTTCCAGACTGTAACCATTATTACTCTGACCATCAGGAATAGAGGAATCAGAAGATTCTCTATCACTATCAGTATAAGATAAAGCCTCTGATTCACTTTCTTTCTCACCCTTTTCTTTTAACTGAGTCTTCTTAGGTTTTGTTCCTTTAGATTCTTTACATTTTCTTTTAGTCTTTGGTACTTTAAAAACACTTTCATCATCCCTGATCAAATTTTCTCCATTATGAATTAAGTCCTCAACATCCATGTCATCATGTAATCCTTCTTGTGTTGCCATTTGACTCCCCCCTTCACCAGAAGTATTAACATCGTCAATGTTACATTCTGAAACATCGGACTGTTTTTTTTCTCCTGTTGAAACTCCTTCCTCAACATTAGTTTCTAGAGCTCCTTCCCTAGCAGCAGCCCCCGCAGCTCCCTCCTCAGCTGCCCCCGCTGTAGCTCCATTATTGACAGTATCTGCTGATGTCTCTGGCTCTGGATTTTCGTTAATCTGAACAGTCGCTTTTTGAACATTGTCAGGGCAATTACGAACTGAATGGCCCTCCTAGTTGCATCCAAAACACCTCATAGTTTCCGTTGTCGCAAAAATAGTGTAATCAAAGCCGTCAACTTTAAATTTCATCACTATGCTCAGTTCTTCAATATCATTTTTAAGAATCATAAACACTTGTCTTCTAAAGGACACAACGTGTTTCAACTTTGATGATTTGCAACCTGACGGGATCATTTTCATCGTCGACACGATCTGACCGTGACGTGACAATTCATTCAGTAACACGTCATCGCTGACGTGAACATAAAACATGTCTGATCCCCCACAGAGCCCTGAAAGTCTCCAGATTGATTGTCAGTGTGTAATATGCGTGCTCTACTCTCAGTCGAGCCGCAACCAGACCCTTCAGGCACTGCACCACATCTGTCCAGCCCCGATCCAACATCTGATGCTTCCTCGTCTTCCAAATTGCCAGTTTAGCTATGCCACGTAGAAAATTGAATAAAACCAATGTCAGTTTTTTCCTGACTACATATTTTGGTCCAAAAACAAACGGAGGGACAGAAAAAGACTCTCCCAGAGCTTCTACCCATTCCTTTAAAACTCTAAAAAGACCAACTAGCCGAGAACAACCCACCACTAAGTGCTCCAGTGTCTCACTTTGAGTGCAGAATGGACAGCCCTCCCCAGTGCTTGGATCCAGGTGAGCTCTGTCTGTTCGTGGCTATTGATCCATGTATCATCCTCCACTGGAGATCCGCCATCCTTTTCTCATCAGGGGGTTTGTACAGCATCCTCCTTTAGGGGTAACATCTGATGTAAACAACTCGCACCATTTTGACTCTTTTACTCTACCAGGGAGTGAAGGTTCAGCACCTTCACACAGCTGTGGTACAGCTGCTTTTTTCCACAGGAGCTGAATGTGCCCAGCACCGGTGTATTCCACGTCAGAAGTGAGCCACCTTCCTCCTGCCGCTCCCCAGCAGCCGGGCAGACGCTCAGAGACGGAAAGACATGCATGCCGCCATCCGTCCATTGGCCAGGATTGGCCTGGAAAAACCTCTCAGGGGCTCAGACAGGGACTGCCAGACTTCCTCCACAATCCTACTAACCAGTCTTGAGGATCTGACATTTGTGACGTCACCAAGTGTGTCCATGGACGTATTCACCAGGTGGCCCAGTTTGTTCATGCCGGCCTCAACAAATTCAGTCCTCAGAGTGGCGGAGGAAAATGGGGCACTCCTAAGAAAGTCATTATTAAAAAGTGGCTCCTCATTGACCCACATCCCTGGCCCAGGGTCAAGAGTTCTTGTGACCTTCAGTGTCTGCCAGGCATTGATCACCGAGCTGTAGAAGGGTGGGAGTCCTGTCAGGTCCACTTCGGACGTTTTCAGAAGAAGCAGTTGTTTATCCAGCCCAAGCCAGCCAGCGTTCCTGAGCAGCAGTCGAGCAGGAGCTAACCAGCAGCGACTGCATCCATACAACAGCCTCTGTGCCGTCTGCAGTCTGAAGGCCGCCGTTCGGGACAGAATGTCCACAAGTCCTTGTCCTCCCTCTGCCACAGGGAGATACAAGACCGCCGCCCTCAGCCAGTGTTGACCAGACCAGAAAAAGTTCACCAGAAGCTGCTGTTCGTCCTTCAGGAAGCCTGACGGTGGCCCCAGCACGATGAGCTTGTGTCACAGAGATGACCCGACCAGGTTGTTCACAATCAGAGCTCTCCCCCATAGGACAGGTGAGGTAGCAACCATTTCCATTTAGACAACTTGGCTTCTACCTTTTCCAGCACTCCCTCCAAGTTCTGCCTCTGAAAATCCTTAGTCCCTAAAAAAATTCCCAGGCTCTTCAGACCCCTTTTACCCCACCTAAGGTCCCCAGGTAAAATGGGGGTGCTCCCCACGCACCACTCTCCCACTAAACAGGCTTCACTCTTTCCCCAGTTCATCTTTGCAGAGGAGGCTTTCCCGTACAGAGCCAAACTTCCCTCCAACTCCTTAACATCTCCCTGATCGCAAATAAAAACATTCACATCGTCAGCATATGCTGACACAACCACAGGAGGCATCTGAGCCAGCTTTGGCAGGGAGAGACCTCTCAGTCTGCTCCTCAACCGACAAAGGAGAAACTCAATGGTAATACTGTAGAGCTGGCCTGAGATGGGGCATCCCTGTCTGATCCCTCTCCTGACTGGCACTGGAGCACTCAACCCACCTCCCACCTTTACCACACAAGAAGCGTCGCGGTACAGCAGTTTCGCCCACGACAGAAAACCCTCCCCAACACCAAAGGCCTGTAGTGTGGTAAAAAGAAACCCATGATCCACACGGTCAAAAGCCTTCTCCTGGTCAATAGATAGGATACCGACCTTAATATCGTAGATTTAGCTGATTTCAAAGACATCTCTCATTAAAAACAAATGATAAAACATCGACCTATCCGGTACACAGTAAGACTGATCAGCACCAATTAAAAGGTTGATAACCGTTCTCAGTCTATTGGACAAGACCTTGGAGAGAATTTTATAGTCGGTGCATAAAAGGGTTACCGGCCCCCAGTTTTTTAAAAGGGCTAGATATCCCTTCTTAGGCAGCAGTGAAAGAACTGCACGCCTGCAGGATGCTGAAAGCGTCTCTTTTATAGAACACTCTTTAAAAACGTCCAGAAGGTCCCCTCCCAAGATGGACCAGAAGTGTTTAAAAATGTCAGATTCCGGGGGCGCTAGTGAGCAAGACATGGAGTAAGACGCACTTGTCCGGGCTCCTGCAGAATCCGTAACTCTATACCATTCAAACAGCTATTTTTGGATGAACAATGACACAACGCAATGCTGAAGATGTCTACTGAAGCCCAAGCTTTGTATTTGCTGTTTTAATGGCGGACAAACTCCAGAAATACAAATTCACCGCAAGCACTAGCAAACAAGCTAACCCGAAGCCTACCACGAGGAACACAGCCAAATTAGCCACACAGGGCGGAGCTACCCACACCGCACCCACCCATCCCTCAGGTGAAGTCCCAGGTATGGCTGAAGACTTGAAAGCGGAGATTCTGGCCAGCATAAGGGAAGACCTAAAAAACGTTATAAGAGATGAGCTCAAATCGGCGCTGGCAGACGAGATTAGCTCGATCAAAAACGACCTACAAGGGCTAAAGACGCTAATCGCTAACGATGTCACCGCTATCCGTGCTGACATGGAGCTTGTAAAGACAGATGTAAACGAGGTGAAAGATGGTTTGAACACATGGTCTGATGAAGTGTCAACACTACAGACAACAGTGGAAAGCCTCCAGAAAGAGATAAAAACAATGCGGGATAAATGTGAAGACATGGAGGGCAGAATGAGGCGTGCCAATATTCGGCTAGCGGGCATCCCAGAGGCTAATTCCAGCACCCCGAAGGCTATTGCTAGCGCCCTGAAAGAAATGCTACAGCTGGATCGTGACGTCAAAGTGGATCGCTCTCACCGTATTTTTGGGAGCTCGAGAGATGGAGATAAGCCACGGGTGATAATTGCTAAGATGCATTATGATGAGGACGCCGTGGAGATACTACGAAAGGCTCGTGACAAAGCACCGTTATTTTATAATGGCCAGCGTGTCTCAATATTTCCGGACTACACCGCTAACGTTGCTAAGGCGAGAGCGGCATTCTCAGAAGTGCGGAGTGCCCTACGCGGACGAAAGGACATACGCTACGGTCTTCTCTTCCCAGCTCGACTTCGAATAACCCATAATGGCAACAGCAGAGAGTTTGTGGATCATCGGAAGGCTATGGACTATGCCAAACAGATCCTAATGGAGGAGCGGCCTGCAGCAAACGACTAAATCCATCTCCGGACACTCCACAAAATACAGTGGTAAAGACTATTAAGCAAGGTGCAAGGTTTGTGATTTGTTGCTATTTGCCTGGCGTATGCATATAGTTGGTTTGGGTGTTTAAGTGTCTATTTGCCAATAAGTCTTATTTTATTATTTTTCAATTACTTTTAATCATTGTTACCTCTGCTGCGTATTTAATTTTACAGATCTCTGTCATTATTTCATTGAATTATAATCTTTTTTTTTTTTTTCCATTCTCATTTTTCACATAATTTAA